CAAAAACAGTGTTGCCAAAAAGATACTAGCAAAAAAATCACCCATTATATCAGTACTTACATAGCAAGAGAAAAGCAACTTCTGAATGGAGTACTGCGATCAATAATAATGATAATTTCTCTGGCTCGTAGTGAAAACATAAATCAATTACTTTGTTATGTTCAAAATGAGACCCGGCAACCTAGCAGAAGGGTTCCTGTGAAGGTGGTCCCGGCGCAAAAGCGGCGTAACACGGTACCACCGATACCACTACACCAAAGCAACATCCATTGAGGTTGTACCGTGGGCGATCATCTTCGATCTTCATCCTGCCGCCCGCCCCTTCAAGATGAATAATTAGGTTTATCTAAAGTAATTACCAAGACAATTGCTAATGAATATATTATTGGGTCTCTCTCGCGAGCATCCGCCATGATTTATTGTTTATGGACGGGTAATTATAGATCGGTATCTGCTAGGTAATGAATTTTACTTGCGGGAACTACAGGTACAGGTCGAATGCGAAATTACACCGCCTCAGTCTGTACGGGATATACAGCGTGTGCAAATACACAATATCGAGCATAAATATACGCTAGAACCTCTCCAAGCGTTTGAGTTCTTAGAAGGATCTGGGGCTGAAAACCAATCCATTACACAGAATCAATAATACAGGGTGTAAACGTTATGGTAGTCATTATTGAAGTAGATAGATAGATAGATAGATAGATAGATACATTTATTGTCTTGTAGATGATAAAAAATGATATAAGACTCGTCCTAGGAGGGAGGTACATAGTACACATAATTAAAAATAAGAACGAAACAAACATAAGTATTTACAAAGTACAAACAGGGACAACTTAAGGCGTACAGACATTCACATATAAAAAAAGTTTAAAAAAATGGATCACAGTGCGAGGTATTCAGACAAAGAGTAGAAACATTTTTCAACTAATAATTTTCGTAGTTTACATTTAAAACTAGCAATACTACTGACAGTCCTGAGGTTAGCTGAAACTTTGTTATATATTCTGATGCAGGTGTATTCCGGTGACTATTCGAACAGCGTCAGTGTGTGTTTTGGAATACTCAGACTCTCACCTGCCCTTGTATTATAATGTGTGTTGATGTTTTTGTTCTGTATAAATTTTGTTTTGTTTGTATGTGTGAAAAGGGCGCACTTATAAATATGAATGCTTGGTAGAGTCATGATGTTTTTACTTCTGAAGATATCTCTGCAGGATTCTCTTCTACGAATGTTGAATATCAATCTGATTATTCTCTTCTGATGAACAAATGCTCTAGACCATACCATTCGTGAAGGTCATTTCCAACAACGTTTTAAAACAAATATTTAGGCGGGTATTCTTGACGATCATGCAACTGGCCCTTTCGAGTTACCCCCAAAGTTGTCAGGAGATGGATACCTTAGCTTTCTAGCCAATAACCTACCAGAACTTTTGGAACAGACCTTAGACAACATGCCATTACAACGGAGTCAGAGTTTGTGGTTTCTTCATGACGGGGCACCACCACACATTTTTAGAGGCGTCATTCAGTATTTGAATGAACATTATCCAAATCGCTGGATCGGTCGAAATGCTCCTGATCCTCGAAAATGGCCAGCAAGATCTCCTGACCTCAATCCGATGGATTTCTGGTATTGGGGAGAACTTAAAGGGATGGTTTATGGGGCTGGTACAATAACAACTGAAGCACAACTTCGCGAAAAAAGTTTTAATTCGGCTGAAATAATAAATGGACAACTTCGAGGACACAGAGTAAGAAAAATCTGGGTTCGTCGTAATGAAGCGTGTGGAAAGTGAAGGACGACATTTTGAACACCTTTGACTACAAAAAAAGTGCAGCGTGGGTTTTAAAAAGAAAAACAATGACAAGCAACAGGGCTATTTAAAAAACCTGAACATTTTTAAATTACTATGTTACTATGTTATATTTTGGGTTACATACAACTGCAGATGTTAAAAAAAGGATGTATTGACATTTGGAAAAAAGTAATTGTTATATCAATTGTCATTATATTTTGAAAACCACCACTAAGGTCGTCTAAACATCAGTATTTTTTCTATACCTGCTGTTTTACTTAACGACTAGTATAAAATGGAAACGAAACGAATCAGCAAGACAACCACAAGATAAGTTTTAATGCTCACATTTTTGATGACACCTCAAGAAGCCTAATTGATACGAGATTGGAACGAGTTAAGGCCAAAAGATCTAATTAAAACCTCTTCTACCAGATTGTCCTACAGCGTAGAACGGTTTGAAATATCCATAGAGAAAGGAGTATAAAATCAATCACCCATGATGTGACTAACGCTTGAAGCTGTCTGTTAGGGAGGTGTAACGTAGCACAAGTAGCTTGCACTTGAATCGCACATAAGTTTTTTCTAGACCCACGACAATTTACACTTTTCTTTATTTTAGTTGTAAGATAGATAAGGATCGATAGATATCCATTAATGTATCATATTACGAAGAAATCAACATTCTCAAAAAAAAGCATTTCACCGAACAAAGCGCAACAATTGGTCCTGGCAAGCGCTAATTTTGTGTAAAAGACTGCATGCACGTATTTTTCGGCTAGTTCTACAAAATCATTGGTATAAATAACATTGTAATTTCATATATTCTCTTTCGGCTTACTTGATTTTTTTTCTATTACGTATATAATAATGTGTTCGTCAGTCAAGGATCGTACATTAGAAAGTGCAATGGTCTCAAATGTTACCAACATCGTACTGATAAATGTATCTGATACAAAAACGTGATATTCATTCAACTAAAAATTCACCCCCGCACATTCTTTTATAGAATGATGATTTGTAAAAAGCGCAATCATATTTTCTACTGTCGAGATCAACCCTCTCCTGTATTAATTTAGGAAAACACATCAATCATTTCACGAAATTATATACCCACATAAGAAAGCTCGTGTTTTGTGCTTGTAACCCGCGCTGCAAAAATAAAATATCAGAGACGCAGCCAGTTAAGGCGTGCGTCTACTGATCTGCAACGTACGTTTGCAGTAAACGAATTCATTTAAGTTGAGGAAGATCATTTGTCAAGCTGCACTTCGCACATCAAAATAAATGCCATTATTATTATTATTATTAAATACTTGCAGATATCAGACGGGCGACACGCAGTGCACTGCCGGCAATTCAAATGTGGTTCCTTGAAGGAGCAGCTATTCTAATGCGTTCCGATGACGTCATACAGAACTGAATCAGCAGATGCACTGACCAAGTGAGTTCAATGTCATAATATTGACTGTGCAACAGTAGATTATGGACGAGAATCTGAATGGTTCATTGATAACAGACCAATGTATGGTGTTACGTCCTCTGTACGTCATCTTCCGCAATTAGGCTGCTGATGCGGTGCAATCTTATATTCAGTATAGCTTTCGGATTTCCGTCTATGGTATGATCACGTGACCTACTGAAAATGAACCTATGCTGTAAGCACCGTCGCAAATGTCGCGTTTATCAACCCTTTGTCTGGCAAGCAGTGAAATTTCATATGTACAAATTTGGGAGTTATCCAAGTTAAGCATATATGGCCCTTTCTAAGAGTGTGAAGAGCTGAAAAAACTTTATTACCACAATTCATGCAAATTAGGGCATGTTGAATGATTTGTATGAAATGCTTTAACAAGGTTTCTGTTTGTAACAAAACAGAGAATTAAATTGCATTTAGTGCACTTTATTTTTGAATAACCACTAGGGCAATATCTGCGTCGTATTTGGGTCCATGGTTAAGCCAATGATCAAGATCATCATAACGCACATTCTGAACAGGATCAGTAACTTTTTTTGGTTCTTCGGTGGTGTATCCGTTTGCTATGTTCACCAGAAATGCTTTCAGATACATCATCTTGTTAGCAGACTCTCGACGATACAGTAACCATACATGAACCACGCAACGTAGATCAAATATGAAACCACTTGTGGGCAACATGTATATCTATATTGTCATATAGGCATACTAGTTTAAATTTAAATACTTTGGAAAGTCGTTATGAAACCAGAAAAGAGTAAAGCAAGCTGCTAAGCGACACATGTTGCTTGAGGTTAACATTATCAGATAAAGGGTTAAGCTACAATACACATAAGCATTGCATCATAATAGTTGCTCGACAAATACTATTCAGATTACTAATGCGATGGTATCACACAGCAAATGTGGATCAGTGGATGCATTTGCATTTAACAATATGCCATATTTTAAAATCCGTTATGTGGTGAGTACCACAGGGAACTGTAGTTGAGTACACCATTATAGTAGCTTGAGCAGGAAGAGAATTTCAATACTTACAACCTCGAGGAATATGATTTGAATTCGATACCACTTACCTGAAACAAATAGAAAAATAATTAGTAAGATCATAAATAAGTTAATAATGAATTAAATAAAGTATCAACCAACACTCCAGTTTTGTAAGGATTCTCATTTTGACGCTGTATTATTACTATGCCATGAATTACATTGTTTCGGTCTTGTACACGCGTACCTTTATTTTCTTATCTGGCCATTCTGAGCTCAATGCGCAACATCGAGGATCTGAAACGTTTGTAATTTAATTCAAAGAACAATATGAAAGAGATGCAAAGCTCTCTGCACATAAATCAATCCGGTTAGAGCTTTGCTCCGCCAATATATTTACGATAAAAGGATAACAAATTCAGTGAGGTGCTGCCTACAACAATATCCTCTTACCAAGAGCAGAGAGGCAGAGCAAAGCAAAAGATTCAAATTGATCCATCGGTAAGGAGTAAGGAGAGAGCACGGAGAAACCCCCTTTTCGGCGAGCAATATATCAAGTTATCCCTCAGAAAGGACGTCGTCTACATTTCCTGTGCCGTTTTGGGGGTCTTTCCGAGGCTGTGTGTCATTTTAGCGGTTGCAAATCTGAAAGTGATTCACGTTATATAGAGAAAAGAGTAGTACAGATCAAATCCATATCCCGAATGGTGGATCTACTCAAAAACATCATGTTTCTCTACGATTCAGGTAAATATGTTGGAAACTTTTTTCGGCATATATTAAAATAAATATGAAGAGTATTTAAAACAGCATATTACTTAAAATAAAACCATCGAATATCTTGTTTCTGTAAAAAATGGCATATGAACTATGAACGTCCCCAACTAAACACGACAAAGAGTTGAATGCCACATGGTCTCGCCAATCGCGGTACTACCTTGCCGGGAACCACAGTTTCTCGGCCCCTCTGAATAACAGTACCCGCTTGTAAGAAGGCTGAACAGGATCTATTTGTTTTTCGTCTTGGCGAACATAATCAACCATATTCAACGTTGTTTCATGCTTTTTAGCAATGATCAGTACAATATAGGTCTAGCTATTCAGATACAGATGATGGAAAGCCTAACAAGCATATATGGATCTTTTGAAAACTCACTATTGTAACATGCAAAAAATAAAGGAGAGACTACCACTTGCCTTGATGAGTAGTTTCTCCTATCGCGGTACTACCAATCGCTACTTATGGTAGGTAAGCATCTCTCAAAAGAAGTATGTCTAGTTTATGCAACTTTTGCACAGTACGTCAATGCTGGTAGCATGATTAGAACGCAGTACTGCTTTTTGACCTATAGCGTACTGATGATTGCTAAGAAACATGGAACAACATTGTATATGTTTGCTTAGACATCACTGTCTATTGATCTTTTGATGTTATTCCAGGATGTGAAATAGAAAAGTTTAAATAATTAATTAATCGGTAACTTTTTCAAGTCCGTTTATGGTGTTTGGTAAAACATGACCATGGGTTTTTCAAAAAGAACCTCATACAGCATACATCGTTCTACTATGTGGTCTCATCTACATTTTCTAAGTTCAAATTTTAACACCAATCCCGCTGACGCACTACTGATGATGACAGCGTAGACCCGTAGACTGTCGAAAGCTTGAGTTGTAAGTTAAAAGAGTACACTTTACGTAATTTGTCGATTTTCCCAAAGACGAGTTCTTCCACTTAGCTAGTTGTTACGACAATAATAACTATGAACCATATATACTCGTATATATACCTATATAAGAAAACAAAGGTTAATAACACTCGTTTTACAGTCAGCAACAGCAAGAGAAATAAGTGCCGGGATCTTACATAAAAATCAATCAGTTAGATTTCCTTTAGCCTTTCGCTTCGTGGTTCATCTTCAATCAACTTTCTCCCTTCTGAAAAAGCCTTAAACCACAGAAAAACCTGGTCGCTTAAAAACTTACTATCCCCGTAGGTCTGCTGAAGCTTAGCAAGAGTTTCCGTTGCTCGAAATTGATGTCATTCATTTTTAAAACTGTTTCACAAACAAAAATCGCTGACTCGAGTGAGTTCAAACTTATATTGAAGGCGGATCACATGTTCCCCTGTCTCGCCTCCAAGTCCGGCGCCTCCAGTGTTGCCAGATCGTGTTGCCTCGTTGCCAGTCTCATCACTTAATTTACAGACCTCGTATAAACTCGCAGCATAATGCCAAATTTGCTGTGTTAGCTACTTTCCTATAAATGTCTAGACAAGTCTTGCCCCTCTCTAACTGCAACGTGCCTGTGTGCAATACGAGCTGACAGAAACCAGCATTGCCATACGTGCCGTGTATTGAAGAGACTCGGTCCAAACAGATGCGAAGGTAACAGCACAAGAGACACAAATAATTAGATTTGCGGCGAACTCACGGCCGCTGCCGGATCCAGATTTTCAACGGGAAACACGGGTAAGGGGGTGGGGTCCCTCGGCGAGTCCCGACAGCGTTCGACATTGATCTACATAATTCGGACTTCGCAGCCCGATTCCCGATCCTTTGCGCGACTAAATATTCAGCGGAAATCAGGACGAATTTGCATCTACATGACAGGACCTGCAGGGATTCGTTGCTGTCCCACGGGATATTGTTCACGGGATAATTAGATAACGAGCCATCAGGTATTATTTTTTTTACTTTTGTCCTTTTTCAGCAAGACAACGCACGTCCCTATATTGCTCGTCGTACTACAGACTTTCTTCAAGAAGCAGGTGTTAATGTTTTGCTTTAGTCACTCCGTTCACCGGATTTAAATCCCATCGAACATGTGTGGGATATGAAGGGGAGAGACACTTTGTATCATCCGTCACAGACACTGCCACAGCTAATCCACGAAGTTCAAGTTGCTTGGAATGGTGCCACAACCAGACATCGATCGTCTCATTTTGTCGATGCCTAGACGTATACAGGAGTGTATTCAGCTGCGAGGTCGCCCAACACATTATTAACTTTTTTTCTTATAACTTGTCAATAAAATTTCGTGAGAATGTTATCGCTTCATTCTTGATGTTAGACTACCTCATTGCCAAAAAATCAAGTTGATGAAATTATTTTTTCTGAGTATATTAACAGCAGTAGTGGATATGTCTGACAGGTTGCCATCTTTAGGCCTTTCTGCTAAGCACAACTATTGAAAAGGACATACGATTCTGAAAAGCCATTCAGATTATTGCAAGCTGGGGTTTGGGCTTCATCAATTAGAGCTCAGTTGCCACAATGCCTATTATTTACATCAGCATCTTATAGTAAGTAGTAGGATCGAGGTTGTTCGTGATATTCTGGACTCAAAGCGGTTCTAAAGGTTTTGTATTTTTTGGGTAATTATGAGCTTTTTTTATATCGAAGCCGCCGCGCAGGCAGAAGCCTAAATGCCGGAACACCGCGGCTGCTATGATGATCCCAAAGAAATTTTGTTAATACGATTTTTGTACTGATTGGTTAGTAGAACTGGGAAAAGCTTCCTCTTGTAGATTGTTCCACAATCTCGACACCTTCGGGACAAAGGAGCGGTCGGTTGGTCAATTCTGGATGTACGAAGTTCGACACGGTTAGGATGGGACGCCAAAGTCAGGCGGGTCTGTCTGGTAGGCACATCGCGCGGCGGCATCATGGAAAAGAACTCTGAGGAGCAAAGCCCGTTGGTGTAGCGATAGAAAAGCGCTAGATCGCCGACGGCCCGCCGGTGCGAAAGAGTGCCGAGACTGCCTGTTAGAGACGAGTCATCGATCAGTCGTACCGTCCTCCTCTGGATAGCATCGAGCATGGATAATGTAGTCGGGGCGGCAGCACCCCAAACGTGTGAGGCTAGGCCTCATCTGGGCCTTGTATAAAGTGAGAAGGTCATTCGGAGAAAAGTACTTCTTAGCCCTAAACAAATAGCATAGCTTTTTCTCAGCAGCTGCAGCTATTGACGAGATATGTTCGTGCCAGATCAGGTCCTCGGTGATTTGGACTCCGACCAGCCGAAATGAATGGCTCTTTGGCAGAACTCGGCCGTCCATCGAAACTGGATGAGCGCTAGGATGGTTTTTGTTCGTCAAAGTACAGTACTATGTTTTGGAAGCATTGCACTGAACAAGATTGTTGAGTCCCCAAGCAGTGATCCAGGTCTCTTGTCAGAGAGGAATACGTCGCTAGTCTTCTTTTTTCCCGCGCAGCGGCAGAGATCGGCTTGTCATTCTGAATTCCTGCATGTAGAGTGCTGTCATCCGCGAAGCTGTGGATTGGGTTGATCGTGCAGGAAAGGAGGTCGTTGATTTGATATGTAAGAGAAACAGTGTTGGAGCCAAGACCGACCCCCGATACCTGGGGAACACCCGCGTTGGCGTTGTGGGATGAAGAGGAGAACCCGTCAATTACGACGGATATCTTGCGGCCAGAGATAAAGTCAGCCACCCATCTGCAAAGCTTTTCTGGGAGGCCATAGGATGGAAGTTTGCTTAAGAGGGCAGCGTGCCACAGCTGATCGAACGCTTTCGTGATGTCAAGAGCAACGACATGAGCCTCACCATAAGACTGGATGAGTTTACTCCACAATTGCGTGACGTAAGCTAGGAGGTCCCCTGTGGAGTAATAAGTTTTATATAAAAGTAATTTAATAACTAATAAGAACATTTTCCTTAGATAAATATGAAATTCTTGACGTCTTGTCGTTGGACGTTTGTCGTAAAAAACTTATTTGAGATTCTGGTAGGATTTTTTGACCTTGAACGAGTTCTTGATGCATTCCTTCACATGAGCATTTACAATAACTGTTAGCTGTTATTAAAAACTCCAAAGTTTCTTTATTCTCAACTAGTAATCACAATTGGGCTCTGATATGGAAAACGGAAATACATTAACTGTTCTTTGTGAAAACACTGGAATATAAATTTTGCTATGATGGACATTCGTCTATGCCACAACTGAATATACAGTGCTACGAGATGTCCATTGTTTTTATTTCTGCTATTTCTATTCCATCCGAAGGCATCAAGAGCAAGAGTGTCACTAGACAATCCATCCATTCGTTCTTCCGAACAGGACGAATACAACGCATCGCATTCCAGTCAATTATACCAGGCGCGATATTTCAACGAATCGAAAGACTTCTATCGAAGTGTACAGACTACGAATAGTTGGATCACTAGCGAACACACATTTCTGACGGCCTGCTGGCCTTGTAGGATAATCATCAATTCATAGAATGTTTGCATACACTTCTCAGATTTGTTTTTACTGATGGACAGTTTCGGCAAAGCAGTTGTTCTAGCCGAAGAGGACACACATATTTGCTCCAACTGCTGATACAAAATACAAATACTAAATTTTAGTGCTGCTGTTTGATCAAACGCGTGACGATAGTGTATACAGGGTGTGTCCCATGTAGAACTGTGATCAGTTACTCGAAAAATTCACGTTACACACTGATGAAAATGTGAGGTTATGGTATAACCCATTTGAGAAATTTGGCTGAAATATTTTAACAATGCACTCTCACTTGTACCGGAAGTCAATACCAACTTACTTATTTTAAATGGAACACCCTAAATATTATGTAGTTCTTGAAATCTACGCAAGATGATGAAACCATTTCATAAATAACGTCATATTTTATACAAATTTCTAAATTTTATGTAAGAAATCACAAATGCATGTCCATAAGCCCATGAATTTTTCGTATATTGTATTTTTCGAACGATTTGTAACTGCTCCCTTATAGAAGGGGGCTACTTTAATGGACTGGAATGGACAGATTTTTGAACTGCCCAAGGTTAGTAGAACTGAGAAAATCTTTCTAAGGTAGATTATTTCACAATATTGATGCCCTATGGACAAAGGAAGCGGTCGTATCGGCCAGTTACGGAAGTACGAAGTTCGACACGGTTAGGATGGGAGGCCGAAGTCAGATGAGTATGTATGTTAGGCACATCACCACGCGGCATAATGGAGGAGGGGTCCGAGGAGCTAAGCTTATTGACATAGCGGTAGAAGAGAACTGTCTCGCATACAGAACAAATGTAGGGAAACGCCGATAGTTTGTCTGTTGAGTGACCCTATTGTTAGAGTATCCTACACTTTCAGAAGGCGAATGCGAATCATTTCCACATTTTCGAGTAAACAAAAGGCGCGCGGCAAATGAAGCGTGTACACCTAGCGACAGCGACACAGACAGACGCAAAAAAGCGACACCACCGCCTTCGAGAGAAAGACGAGACAATGCGACTTCCATCAAGGTTCCTAGACGTGGCGTGTCGTTCTGTACTCGCTCTACTGTGATATGCAATCAGTTTGCGTCTTACGTACAGGGAGGGTATTATAGAACGTTACAGAAAAGCTTATCGGCCCTGTGTAATGGCGGTATGCAGCGCTTGTATCAGACAAATTCGAAAAAAAAAATACAATAATAATAATCTTTACGAGTTCGGTCGATATCAGTTGATGGTATCAAGCATGCCAGAAAAATACAACAAGTTGTAGCATAGTCGGTATCACACATTGAAAACAGGAATTTAAAATTCGCAATTCGGTACGTCTGTGAAGTTATATGAAATGCCAAAGTACAAGAGTCGATTTTGTGGAGTTTGTCAACACTAATAGCTTCCTTATCCTGACTAGCTGACCATTCGGAAAATATACCTGTATATTGTCGATAGGTCGTTAAACCCTATTTCAGGAGTATCCATATCACATTTTGGCGTCTAATGAGGTAAACAGCTGATCAGCAAGTGACATCTTTGTATTAGTATGTTACGTTAGCAATAATGAATCGGGTGTATGTCTAGTAAAAGTAGCTTGTAGCGTTTTTTTGGTCTGCAAATGAGTTTTTCCAAATAAAAGAGTTACTAGCAAGTACAAAATGAATCTGTAGCGTACAAAAAAACAAAACAAAAGATGGCTCTGTCTACCTGGTGACGACGGATCTGTCAGAATTATGTCATCTGTCGATATGGGGAATTTACAAACATTACTAGATAATAAGCTGTTATTCTATCGTAATTGGTACTCGTGACAAAGGCAATACGTACCTCGGATGTGGATGGAACATAACCTTATATTCAGTTTGTTTCGGAGGTGTTTGTGTCGTTCATTTTCTGTATTTGAAGCTTGTTTTGATGTTACTGACTTCTTTTGCGTTTGTTTTAAGCTGTTTTCAAATGAATCGAATGAATTTGATGTGCTATTGTTCCATTTCACTACACCATAACACCGCATTTCATAGAACAAACTTTTTGCATCACTAATAATAATCTAGTGAGCAAATAAAGAGATATTCATGGATACTAATTTTTACCCAGAACGCCAAAATAATTCTTGCCAACTCAAATTTACAGGTTATGTATACGTCGCATCTGTCAACCGTGAGCGTCACCTATGAAGTAATGGATATCAATTTATTTTCATTGTCATTCAATGTCAGCTCATTTACATGACATTCATCGGCTGAGCTAAAGCATGCTCTACACTAGCAGCAAGTTGCTCTTAGCTGCTTGGAGCCAGCTCTGCAGTTACTGAATATCGCTCGGTATCGACTGAATCCGCTAACAACCAGCATCAAGCTGAAGTAACGGCCAAAAAAGGCTACGAGACTGCAAACCAGTCAATCGACATTTACTCAGTCAGGCAGCCATAAAGGCAAATCTCGTCTAAACTAGTATATGATTCCGTGAACACTCTCAAAGACCTGGGAAACCGATACAGGGTAACACTGCTCTGGGTACCAGGATATGAAGGGCACAAAGGAAATGAAAAGGCGGATGAGCTAGCCCGACAGGGTGCGGCCAATCGCCTTATAGGCCCAGAGCCTTTCTGTGGCGTGACGAGAACACGCGCCAAACACTCCATAAGAAACTGGACCAACAAAACGTCCCTAGAATGGTGGAACAGACAATTGGGGCAAAGGCAAGCAGACGAGTTCATCAAAGAACGAAGGCCCGCATTTACAGAGCCTACTCGGACGCAATAGGACGGCCATAAGGGCCATAGTGGTTCTCCTTCTAAATCGACATATGAGACTCTTGGGTCTGACAAAAGAGGCCATATGCCGTTTCTGCAGAGAGCATGAGCAGTGCATGATGCAGTGCATCTCCTGTGTCACTGTGAAGGCCTGGGAAGCGTAGTAACCACATGTCCAACAGCGGAAAGCTACATGCAAGGCCTTGTGTCAAGGCTATGGAATCTAATCAAAGGATCAAGGCTGGACATTGTGGTCTAGAAATTAGATACTAGAGGGTCACATTATATCCGCTTGGGCCGCAAGCCAACCCCTTTCTTCTGTAATCTGTAAGAACTACAATAGCTCAGGGCTGCGTTCGTAAATTGTTACAGAGTGTACGTTGTACTAGTCCTACTTAGCGTTCGTAATTATTTGACGTATCTGTTCCATGCCTTCGGAAATAGAACAAAGTAATCCTTCTGGATAACCAAAAGTGTGCTTTTCTTCCCGTACTCAGAGCCTTGGGAATAAGGGTGTTGTGACTGGTCATTCTCATGGCTCATTATTTGGTTCTCAAAAAGTGCTCGAAATTGGCAATAAACAGTGGTTAAAATATTACTATTACTATTACTATATTACTATCATTTTGAAGCTCCTGACGAGTACTTTATAACCCTAGAATATAAAGTCAATACCTTTACCTGCTACAAAATGGTGGTACATTTAATAGTTACTTGAACACAAACCCACTAACATGCATATCTCTACAAATAATTGTAATTCCCTGCCGTATCCACAGCAACAGCGATAAAAACATGTTTTGTTATTTTTTGTTGACAGTAACAAGAATATCAGTACGAAAACAAACATCATTGTACAGATAAAATATTCTTATTTAGTTTTCGGTTTTAGTGCTAGATACTGTTTGAACTAATTTTAAAATGGTCAATTCTCGTCCACTTTAAAAAAAATCGAAGCGATTTTTATTTATGGTGCGACGCGTAACTTTCACGACACCGAAAGGATTTTTAATGATCGTTTCCCGAATCGTCCTATTTGTAGAAAATATTTAAGGGAACTTGTACCTAAATGTACAGCTACTTCTAGTGTAAACAAAAAGCCCCCAGGTCATCCGACCATCCCGGAAGAAACGCAAGTTCAAATAATTGGTGAGATCATAGTAAATTCCTAACAGTCTACTTCCTCCATCGCGAATGTAGGTGAGGTTTGTCCTTCTACTGTGTGGAGACTTTTGAAAAAGAATAAGTATCATCCATACAAAATTCAAATGGTATATCAGCTAATTGAAGATGATCTACCCATCCTACCTATATCCAAAATATTTGTTTTAGTGATGAATTTTCATTTTTTTCTCAACGGTAATGTGCATAGACAAAATTGTCGTTATTGGAGTGACATCAATCCTCACGTCTTCCGGGAAACGCATACTCAATATCCACAAAAAGTTAACGTTTGGGTTGTGATATTGGGAAATCATATGTGGGGCCTCTATTCACAGAACAAACTTTAACCGGGGAACTGTATTTGGATATGCTGGAAAATACTATTGACACTCACTCTAATCACCGAAATCGTCGAAGCGAATCCTAATGAATTCGGTACTGATATTGTATTCCGGCAAGACGGTGCTCCACCACACTACTACAGACAAGTTAGGAGTTATTTAGATAACAATTTTGGTCGTTGGATTGGCCGTCGAGGTCCTGTGGAATGGCCAGCTCGCTCTCCAGATTTGACACCTTTAGACTTCTTTTATGGGGCTATTTGAAGCAAAAGGTGTACGAAACTTAACCTGCTTCAATATTGGATATACGGCTGAAAATAACAAATATTTGTAGAAATATCAATGTTACTATGTTTGAAAATGTTCGACGCAAAAAATACGGACCGGCTGTTATTGTGTCAAGAACTTCAAGGCAACCATTTCCAGCATCTTATAAACTGAACGGATTTATTCGAATTATCAAGTTAAATGTCAATGTATTCAGGTAATTATTAAATGTACCATCATTTCGTAGTAGGTAAAGGAACTGACTTTATATTCTAGGGTTATAAAGTACTCGCCAGGAGCTTCAAAATGATGTGCTACAAGACTCCGTTTTCATATAATTTTTTTTCCAGCCCAGCGGCCATCTTGACATTTTCATCTGCCAATTTTACTCTAAAATATGGTATCCATGCATCAATTTCATTACCTCAAGTTTTAATTTTTTGAATTGATTCGTTCAAAAAATCAAAGGGGAGGGGGACATTAAAAAAAAGCACCGTATATTGCCAATTTCGAGCACTTTTTGATAACCAAATAATGAGCCATGAGAATGACAAGTAAAGAAAAGCACTGTATATATTTTGACTACAAATGGGCCACCTTGTATCCATAGCGTTTGTTATGATAAAGACAATGGTCGCAGGAAAAGTGGTTGGAAGTAACTCGGCTATCATTAAGTGCCATTACATGAATCTCATCTGTCAATCCACATTGCATTACTGAGTACGGTATTACATTACCAACTGATTTACAAACGCTTCCCAACATTTCGGATACGTGACTTCTGTCAATTAATTTCAAGGTTTCAACAATTTTCAAGGCGATCCACTCAGTTAACATACAGAAAATTAAACAATTAAGTTGTCAGTTGCATATAGTCTTCCGTTTTCCAGGTTGTCTGCTGTATTTTTCTCTGTACGTGTGCGATACTTGCGAATTTATGTCCAGTCGTGGAATCAGAAACCATACCCCTGATTGTGAAATGATACCCGAGAAGTTTTGGATGTTCTCACTTGCCATTGGCAAACATGCTAAGACTCCACAGTTAGTTGGACAGGAAAGTTCTCCGGAAAAATGCTGGAACCATATGTTACGATACCTATCCAAAGGGATAACATATAGGAACGAATTTAACAGTATTCTTGAGTGATCTCTCCTACAGCTTTACAGTACTCTCCGGTATTTAGGTACGTTAGCCCCGCGTGCTTGCTAAATCATCAGAAAAACGCGCTATGAGGGTTGACATTGCAGATTGTATCATACACAAAAAGCATCGTACATCAGGTTCCAAAATTAGAATATTTTCTAATTTTATTTGCATAAAAACTTGAAGCGCTCCAGTACCTAATCTGACTTAACCTCCGTACATTAGCTACTATTAGAGAGATGGCGAGATATAGTCTGGACTAGCGCGTTGATAGGGTTATCTTTATTGCGTATCGTCCGGGTAGCCGCAAATGGCCAATTACTTAGGGGGAAATGGGTCGAGAGCCGCTGCGACCACAATCACGCTCGACACTTGGACACACGGACCGACGAGCCGACCGGCAGTCTGTCGGTTTGTGTGTGTGTTTGTCGGCATGTTCGTGCGAACGACCACGATACACTCACGCGTCCCGTAAATGTCTTCATTTGCATTAGCTAGGTGTGTTAAGAGATTAGTCGCAATTTTCAGATAAAATGTATTATGCGGTAAAACCTAGTACTGTTAAATGTAAATCCTAATACCCCCTTCTTTTCTGGAGTTGTTTCATGTTCTTCTGGCTGCCAAATGGAACTACAAACGTGGTATGAAAAACATTACTGACGTTTTGGCCACCCCGGTAGCATTTCCCAAAGTACAGGATGAATTATCACAAAAATACATTGTGACATTGAAAATACAATGTTGTAGATATAATAGGGAAATAGCGCATCTCATAATCTTGTTTGAAGAATTTTGTATGTTCTACGCTCATTGTGTCATCAGTGGCGAGAAATTCGGAGCATCCTGTAAGGGGACACTTTACAATATACTTTCTTCATAAGAATTTTTATATTACTTAGCTTTTTGTTGAGAAATATCGCCACCGTTATTGTATTTTTGTATTCATATAAGTTATGTACCAGTCTACAGAGAAGAATATGCTGAACAAGGACTTTTGCCTCCACGTTCCTTTCTTATCAGTTACAGTATTGTATTTCATTTGTTCTTTACTTTGGTTTGTATAATGAACTTTGCAGTCAGTCTCGATTCAGAACTCATTCAATTAACATCATTGTATTTGGTCTTTCTCAAAAATAAATCTTTTTAAAAACGTTTTCGTTGAAGAAAGATATTTGAGTGGCGCAGTCAATCCAGTAGGATAGTCAGACGAAAAAAGGGACATTTTTCGGTTCGTTTCAACGGTTTACTGGCTATAACGAAACCAACCGCGATTGGTCGCGAACGATCCGACGGAATATCGATATCGTTACCGTGATCACCGGAACCAGATTTGGGATAGAACCCTACCCAAATCGAGAAACCAAGACGACAGCAGCCCAGAGGACAGAAGGAACATCTGCTCCAGGACAGGCAACCCAGCAGTGGCCCAGGCATACGGACACATGGGACGGATTGGATTACTACTGTAAGTACGAATGTCTTACAGGGGTGAAAACAATCAAAAGCTGTTTGATGATACATTGAGTGACACTGATTCGGACTCACAGTCGGATACGGAACATATCCAACATAGTTTAAGGAAATTGCAATTAAGACCTAGTATACTAAATAGTACAGTCAATATGAACAACAGTCAAGTAAATCAATCAAGCATGTCATTACGCCCAGAGTATCTTAACATGATACCCGAATTTTATGGTCAACAAGAATTATTACCAAGATTCATAGATATTTGCGAAAAGTTAGTGAATAAATTTTATAGATTAGAGGATGAAAATGACTTCCAGAACGAATATCTTATGAGTAGTATTTTAGCAAAAATCAAAGGTAATGCAGCTTTAAATATTAGTAGCAATATTATAAAAAATTGGACAGACTTGAAAACTGCACTTTTAAATACATATCAAGACAAGCGTGACGTATTTACTCTAAATATAGAATTGTGTGAATTGAAACAGAACAATGAAACCCCCTTTGAATTTTATAACAAAGTTCAGAGTTTATTGAATTTACAAATATCATTTTTAACTACACATTGTGTGAGTGAAGAAGCTCAGATAATATGTAATTTTTGCAAAAGCGTAGCAGTAAGAGTATTTCTAAAAGGTTTAAAGGAACCTCTAGGATCGCTCATGAGGACGAAAAATCCTACAGACTTGAATGAAGCTCTGAATATATTAACTAACGACTTTCAGCTTGATCATAAGATAGATAAACATAAAAATGTTAATCGAAATAATATGCATATGGCGAACTACCATATGAACAACAACTTTGGTAATTATAGGAATCAATACCAAGCGGTACAGCGTCCAGTATTACAAAGACAATTTAGTCCTAATAATGTACGACCAAATAATCCTAATCAGAATAGAACGAATTTTCACAATAATAACGTTTTTAGACCTAATCAGATCAATAATCTGCCAAGGCCTACTCCGATGAGTACATCCACTAGACAGACGTATCAGCAACCAAATTTTCAAGGTAGAAATTTTAACAGACCTGGTGTCAACGCAGAACAGGCTATGTTTAACTTGTGTGTACAAGACCAACCTGTTGTAGAATTTCCAAATGATGACAATTATGAATGCGCTTATTCTCAGAATAATTCTGACGATTTTTTAGGGCAAGAAGCCTCGGAACAGAGACAACCACAAATCTCAACGGACCACCCAAGTCAATAGAAATTATGAGTTTAACAGACAAATGTAGCAAACTACCATACATTGTATTTCCGGAGTATAATCTCAAAGTATTGATTGACACTGGAAGTACAAAATCTTTCATACACCCTGAAATTGCGAAAAAATTATTTTCAAGACATATTCAAAAAGACCCATTTCAAATCACTTCAGCACATGGTTCATCTATCGAACAATATAGTATGACAATACCTTGTCCAAAGATTTTTAAGAATCCAAATATTCTCATGAAATTTCATTTATTCAAGTTTCACGAACATTTCCAATGCCTTTTAGGACTCGATAACCTGAAGGAGATATTGAATGCCAACATTGATTTGAGCAATGATCTTTTAGTCACACCCACAACAAGGATACCCATGCAATATCACGAGATTACAAAAAATTCTTCTAATGTTATCACTGTTCCACCTAGAACAGAACAGATAATTAAGGTTAACATAAAAAATTTAAAAAATGGTAATGCTATTATTCCATACAGAAAATTATCATGTTTAGAAATCCCTGAATGTCTTACTACAGTGAAAAATCACGAAGCGATTTGCACAGTATTAAATTTATCTGAAGAACAGATTTCTCTTGACATATCTCGACCAATAGATGTAGAAAATTTTGAAAATTACGAAGTTTCAGAAAATTCTGATCCACCGAATATTAATTCTTTGAACTTTCAAAAATATAAATTTGATATTTCCAAAATTAGGACAGAGCATATGAACTCTGAAGAAAAAGACGCAATCACCAAGTTAGTAAAAGAGTATTCAGACATATTTCACATAGATGGTAATTACTTAACTTTTACGAGCAAAATTAAGCATCATATACGTACAAGCGATGAAATACCCATTTACACGAAATCATACAGATATCCTGAAATCCACCGAAAAGAGGTACAAAGACAAATACAATCAATGCTTGATCAAAAAATTATTAGAGAGAGCCATTCAGCGTGGTGCTCACCTATATGGATTGTTCCAAAAAAATTAGACGCATCGGGAAAGCAAAAATGGAGAATAGTCATTGATTATAGAAAATTGAATGAAAAAACATTGGGAGATCGTTATCCTCTTCCAAACATAACAGATTTGTTAGATAAATTAGGGCGATGCCAATATTTTTCAACATTAGACTTAGCTTCAGGTTTTCACCAAATAGAAATGGCAGAAGATGATATTCAAAAAACTGCATTTAATACAGAAAATGGACACTACGAGTTCACAAGAATGCCATTTGGACTAAAAAACGCGCCAGCGACTTTCCAGCGAGTAATGGATAACATACTGAGAGGTATTCAAAATGAAAAATGCTTAGTATATTTAGATGACATTATAATATTCAGTACTAGTTTACAGGAACATATTTCTCGACTTAGAGAAGTTTTTGAAAGGTTACGTCAGTCAAATTTTAAAATACAGTTAGACAAATCAGAATTCGTCACTATTATCCCAAATTATAAGTATTTGCTAAAATCTGATCGAAATGAGATCAAACCCCTGCACGAGATTTGTACCCATGGTAGAATCTATCAATGCCCTAATCGTATATTAGCCAATCACAAAGCCCAATGCGAGAAGTCAATAATTACAGAAGATCATACAGAGCCATGTAGATACACGAAGCTTCAGATTGAAGAAAATCACATCGAATTTATTCCCGAAATTAACCAGTATTTAGCTGTATTTCTCACCGAAGAAAAATTGAAAATTAAATGCAAGGAGCAAATCGATACAAAGTCATTACTTGGCATTTTCTTAGTCAAAGCCAGTGAATGCCAAATATCATTCCAAGACAATGAACTTATCTTTCAAGACAAAACCTATGGAAAGCCCCTCGTAGCTGACAAAATGGATTTCCATTTTATGAAACAAAATATCCCAGAGACACAAATTACTCTGAAAACGTTAAATTTACCAGAATTACAAGTTAATCGAATGTTACCAATTTTAGAAGAAAATTCCATAGAAAATTTTGGAAAACCCAGTATTTGGACCATATTACTATATCTCGTATTTTCAAGCATCTGCTGCATAATTTTATATAGAAGATGGAGAAACAAGAAAGCATCCAAGTTAGAAATCGACATTGAATTAGCCGAGATGAAAGAAGAAGGTCCAAGTCCCACAAAACGCACTAGAAGAGAAGATTCCAGTTCAAGATATAAGAAGAAAGAAATTCACCTTCCAGGGGAAGCTTCATTCTAGGGGTGGAGGAGTTATGTACCAGTCTACAGAGAAGAATATGCTGAACAAGGACTTTTGCCTCCACGTTCCTTTCTTATCAGTTACAGTATTGTATTTCATTTGTTCTTTACTTTGGTTTGTATAATGAACTTTGCAGTCAGTCTCGATTCAGAACTCATTCAATTAACATCATTGTATTTGGTCTTTCTCAAAAATAAATCTTTTTAAAAACGTTTTCGTTGAAGAAAGATATTTGAGTTATATGTAAAAGCGCTCGACCGCTGGGCTGGTTTACGTTAGCCGAATGCGCTCATTGACTTTGTTATACCCCGGAATCATGTTGCGACATTTTTGACATTGACACTTGACATTTCCACACTTGGCAGCGTTTCCGCATATTGTTTATGGAATGAACCATTGATAAGTTCACAGATTTGAGGACAAATACTTAAATATGACCAATAATAAGGCAAAAGTCAAAAAGGCCAACGATGGAATATTTCAGGACATAAAATAAGGAAGAAAAATGGAGACAAGTCATGTTTACGCCGCTCTTGATTGATATCTGTTCTGTTGCCTTTGATCTTTGTATCTTGTTATCTAGTGCATTTGTCATTTCATGTTTTGGTCACCGTTTACCCAAGAAAATCGATCTTCCGCCTTCATCGCTGAGCAACAAGTCAGCTTAGCATCAACATGTTGATGCTTTCAGGTATTATCGGATTTCAACGGGCCTGGAGAGCATGTTATTCCGTTATACCTTCCTCCCAGGCAAGTTATTGGTGCTGCCATCTGACACAAATCTGGCAAACGTGGAGGTCCCATGCTCTTAGACAACGGCAACACTGTACCTGTTAAGAGTGTTGACCATGTCCTCGCTCCCTATGACGTCATTTAAAAAAAATTACAGTCCGATTTCTCTATATTTTGTTAAAACACCGGGTTTTTTTATGTATACTTGGAAAGATGGTTGAAATTTTAACCTTATCGCAATATTCGGTAATGCAGGGCTGCATATTCTGACATGTGATATACATGACAATGCCACATTCAGATCCACGACGTGGATGCGGACCAAAGCAATAATAATGATAATTCAACAGTACTGATTTCAGCTTTCACCTTCTAATTTTCTCGGAAACAAGTCGCAGAAAAGAAATCGGCATCATGCAAAAATGCGTTTTCCACCGTGCAAGATTTCTCCGCAGCGGCAATAATAATTTTGGATGCATCCTCGGTGCACTGTTGATATCGCGCCAGTCGCGAGCACGAGCCTGGCATTTACATTTCGAGCAGAGCGTGCTCGGAAAACTGATGATCGCAAACGTGCACAAAATAGGGTTAATGGGGGAACAATTTCAGATAGGAGGTGCACTGCACTGTTTACGATTGGTACCGGATCTATGCAACAATTCCTCTGGTTGATACGTGGAGCTATAATACACATCTAGACATAAGGCAGACCTGTCTAAGAGCTTTTCCTCACCGGGATGCCATGACGACGTTGCCAGCATCCGCGTGTGTACGCAGAATTGCTCCTTCTTCATCTAGGGCACATTTTGAGCCTTCGATTACAACTCATCATATCAGAAAATGTTCAGTTTAATCCGTTTTATATTATCAACGTGATTAGAACTATGGAAATTAAAATAGGTATCTATATCCATATACAAAACGTTAGTACAACCGTTGTTAACTTATGGAATTTTGGCATGGGGACCGGTGATGAATAAATACTACAGGAAACTAGAAATAACTCAGAAATGGATTCTTAAAATCATGTTCCGCAAAACTAACACCTATCCAACTGATATGATATATAAGGTATCCAAGATATGTGATTGTAGGCAACTCTATTTTGAGAGTGTGTTCACATATATTACAAAACATAAGCATTTATTAAATTTCCTCCCACATGACCATCACACCAGATCCAAAGATCATTCAGTACGCATACCAAAGCTTAAAAAGACCATAGGTCAGAGGAGTTTCACTTTCCTAGGACCAAAAATATATAACTTAATCCCCCCTCAGATAAAAGATATTAAAAATACAGAGGTTATGAAAAGGCATCTACGACTGTGGATTTTGGACCAGCACAGACTCAAGATTCATCAAGCGATTGATATCAAAAATATCTACTACTACTGAAAGCGGAAATCTCTCTAGATATTTGAAAGTTCAAAATGAAAAAAAAAAAATGTATAAATCAAACTGATTTGAATTCTTACCCCCTGAATTATTGCATTTTATGACTTATTTTTACCAATTTTTGTTCTTGTCTATTCACCTAATATTGCCCTTTGTTTCAATGTTGTCTCTATCCCGATTGCATCTACGTCCCGATTTTGCGTCTCCGTCCCGATTGTGTCTTTTCAAAAATTTTACCAGGACTTGTCTAATGAATTTTATATACATATATTTTTTATGTTTTTTTTTTTAGTCTTAAGTTATTTATACATGAGCTCATGCCCAAGCACAAGTTTCTGCGAAACTTTTTTGGGTCCATTCGTTTATTGTATAATATTGTCTTTCATCTACTACTGCTATACTTTTTCTTTTGCAATAAACTTTATTATTATTATTTATTATTATCGACTTTAAGAGTGGAAGTGGAAATACGGAAATCCAATGCCTAACTTTCTGCCCGCCAGCTTTTACTTAATCAGCGCCATCTCTAACAGGTGCCCCTTGCTAATGTTGAGCTTCTTTTTGGAGCATAGTCAATCAAACGTGATATAGTTGTTTAGAATTATCCTAATATTGGTGAGTGAGAAGTACTAAATCGATTAACCTCACCCAAATTTTGCTATTAGTCTATCAATTTCCTAGCCCAATAATTAAAAATAGTCAGCAGTGAACTGAAATGGCCCATTTTTAGCCTCCGCACGCCCCGAATATTCCCCCGCAATAAGGCAACACGTGCACTAACAGAACCGTAACGAAAGGGCAGGCACATGGTGGAACAACTTTAAATCAACCTTAAATCTTCATTACTGCGTAGTATAGAGCGTGCATATATGGGTTACGCCACGCTGGAGCGTGTCATTGGAAAGTCAAAATTGTGTAATTGGATATATGTATATAAAGGAGAGTGGATGGGCTCATATAGATACAGGGTCAAAAAGTAACACATGGAAGTTTTTGTTAGAATCTTGTAAGGTAAATTACAAATGTGGAATAAACAACGTTATAAAGCAAGTATCACTTTACAATTTTAATTTTTTACTTTACATCTCCTCAACGTACTGGGCAACCAAGAGCTGCCTGTAGCATCCCAAAGCCCCGCAACGATAAGCACTGTGCAACTGTGCATTGAGGTCTTTTATTTTACCCCACAGGATACTTGGGATCTTCAGCTGTCCCCATTATATGTAGGTGAGCCTAGATATGTTGTGGTGGAACAAGCAAGCATATTCCCAAATCAGATCTTGCACCTGATGGAGATGTCCAGTGAAGCTACCTCACTTCAAGCAATCTGGCCTCATAACTCTTTGCGAGGGCACGTCGAATCCTGACTCACTAACAACAAAACTTCTCTCTGGCTCTGCTCTCGCAAGTGCGTCCACCGTATCATGTTTCGGTATCCAAATGAGTGAGCCT